TGCAGAATCCATCCTCCATCCCCGCAGTTGCTGCAGAATCCATCCTCAGCTCTTCTGAGTCATTTCAAAGCCATCGGCCAGCACACAAGCAGAAATACAGATCTGGCAGCAGCGGAGATAAGGTGACATGGCCAGCTGACTTGATGTGAGGCATATTTGTAGCTGACGGGCTCTGAGTGAACTCGGACCCCGACAGCTTTCCCCCCCCCCTTTCTGCTGGCAATTAAAAAGACCAAAGGAGTATTTTTTTTAATTGACACGGTCGCTAAACAAATGGTTGTGAGGCGGGGAACTTCTTTTCTGAATGAAACAAGCATTTTTTTTTCCCCCTCACGGTTCACAGACCTCCAGCGCAAAAGTGAACGGGACGAACAGCGGGTGAAGAAATCCCGGATCGGCCTGCAGCTTTATGACACCCCTTACGAGGAGAAGGAGGCCGAGACAGACCCTGAGGCCGGGCCCACGGAGAAGCCCCCCAAGAGCCGGCTGCCCCAGGAGGATGAGCGGCCGGCCGATGAATACGACCAGCCCTGGGAGTGGAAGAAGAACCACATTTCACGCGCTTTTGCTGGTGAGTTGGCGAGGGAACTACAATTGGTGCCATCTGAAAAATAAATAAAATAAAATAAAATAAAATGCTGAGATTTGGGGGGAAAGCCAGGGTTAAAACTAGCCTGTCCGATTCAAATAACCCCTGGGTCTTTTTGATTTGTGAATGCTTGCTGCGTCTGCTGCTTAAGTTTCTAGTCCTCATGAGCTCTCTTCCAGGGAGACCGGTTTGCCTTTAAGCTAGGATCCGTTCTAATCTCTGGTCTGAAGCCTCGTCACCCCAAATGCTAGATGCTCTCGAACAGGGGCGTCCAACGTGGTCATTTTAAGACCCTTGTGGACTTCAACTCCCAGAATTCCCCAGCCAGCATGGCTAATTTGCATGACTGGGTTGGGGAATTCTGGGAGTTGAAGTCCACAAATCTTAAAGTGACCAAGTTGGGCACCCCTGTTTGAGAGCATCTAGCATTTTGGGTGGGGGGCAGGCAGCAGACCAGAGATTAAAACTGATCCTAGCTTAAAGGCAAAAGGGTTTGCCTGCAAAAGAGCTCCTGAGGACTAGAAACTTAGCAGCAGACTCTGAGGTTGAACACTCCTGCTCTAGACAAAAACAGCCAGAAAGGAGCTGGAGCGTAAAATCCACTTTCAAGGAAACCTCTGTTTAAAAATAAACACACAATCTTCTAGTCCTCATGCTTCGGGCGTGTATCCCTAGCATCTTTGTAGATGAAGGGAAGGAAAAAAAATTAGCTTTTGTATCGTGCCACCTGTAGCAAAATGAAACTAAAGAATTTAAGAAAACTTTTTAAAGAAAATTGCAGAGAGGGAGGGAGGGGGGGAGCAGGAGGGGAGGGGGAGAGAGAGAGAGAGAGAGAAAGAGAGAGAGAGAGAGAGAGAGAGAGAGAGAGAGAGAGAATGGTATGAGAGATTTTTGGGAAGATCTTAGATGAACAGGAAATCATTCCTAATTTTTTCCCCTGTGCTTTTTCTTCCGATTTTAATCAAGCGAGTAAAACCCTGGAGTAACTTATTTACATACAGCATTTCCAATTAGATCAGTGTTTCTCAGGCTTGGTCACTTTTAAGATCTTGTGGACTTCAACTCCCAGAATTCCCCAGCCATCCCCACTCCCTTTTAGCACTGATGATGTTACCCAGTTGGGACGTGAGACGTCTGTTAGAAAACAAGCAAGCTCAGACAGCACCAAGGACCCCACAGTCCTTTTCTTCCTCCTCCTCCTCCTCCTCCTCCTCCTCCTCCTCCTCCTCCTCCTCCTCTTTCTCCCCCGTTTTCCCACCCAAGCAGAGGATCTGTCTTTCGAGAAAACCCCAGACTTTTCACTTAATGGAATAATAGCTGCGGCTGAATGTCTGGCATTGATGTGCCGGCATTCAGAACTGGGAGCCTGGCAGAACTGCTGAACATTAACATTAAGGGGGTTGTGTTTTTGTGTGTGTGTGTGTGTGTGTGTGTGTGTGCATGTGCCAGTGTGTGTAGCCTCTTCAGACCTCCCTCCTGTTCTCCATCACTCATCTCAAGAGCTCTTTTCCATCCGGATGTGTGATTGGTGGATCCCTGCGGATTTGGCACCACCGCAGCAAAGGTGTGGTGAGGAGCGGGAGGAAATCAATGCAAAATCCCAGAGGTTTGTTTTGAAAAGGAGTGACACCCGGACAACGCACCAGGAAAATGTCAAGAGATTTGTGCTCCTCTTGTCTTCTCGGCAACAAGGCTGGCAGCGCACAGATAACATTCTCTCCTGCAATAGACAGCTGAGCCGTAATTGCGCGCGAGCCGAGCAGATTTGGAAATTGCATTTCCCCCGTTCGTCCTCCGCCAAGCCGCCAAGCCAAATTATATTCTTGTTTTTATCCTTGCAAGAATCAATCTGAACAGTGCCGGAAGGGACCCTGGAGGTCTTCTAGTCCAACCCCTGCTCAAGCAGGAGATCTCATACTCCTGCAGATAGGTCTCTTCCGGTCTCTTCTTAAAGTGATGGAGCATCTACAACTTCTGTTGGCAAGGAGTTCCACTGGTTAATTGTCCTCCCTGTTAGGAAATTCCTCCTTAGTTCTAAGTTGCTTCACTCCTTGGTGAGTTTCCATCCTTATTGCTTCTTGTCCTGCCTTCAGGGGCTTTGGAGAATAATTTGACCCTCTCCTCTTTGGGGCAGCCCCACAAATATTGGAATATGTTATCATGTCTCCCCTGGTCCTTCTTTTCTCTAGACCGGCCATACTCAAATCCTGCAGCCGTTCTTCATATGTTTTTGTCTCCAGGCCTTTAATCATCCTAGTTGATCTTCTCTGCACTTTTTCCAAAGTCTCAACATCTTTTTTGTGACGTGGTGACCAACACTGGTTGCAGTCATTCCATAGAATCAAAATCATGTGGAGGAGGAGGAGGAGGAGGAGGAGGAGGAGGAGAAGAAGAAGAGGAAGAGGAAGAGGAAGAAGAAGAAGAAGAGGAAGAAGAAGAAGAAGAAGAAGAAGAAGAAGAAGAAGAAGAAGAAGA